ACCAGTGAACACACATATCCATACACAATAATCCACAAAATCACAATGCATCTTGTAAGTGTGGTGAAAATTTTATGATGGTTATTTTTTAATGTTTTCAACTCTGTTCAGGTTGTAATTAAATTTGCTCATTACCAAAATCCTGAGCTAGTTTATGTACTTCTTTTCTCATTCTTTTTTTTTTTACGTGCTAACAGCTGTCTACTTATTTATTTATTATTATATTATTATTATATTATTATACTTAGTTCTAGGTACATTGCACAATGTGCAGGTTTGTGTACATGATGTATACTTGTGCCATGTTGGTGTGCTGCACCATCAACTCGTCAGCACCCATCAACTCGTCATTTACATCCAGGTATAACTCCCAAATGCCATCCCTTCCCCCTCCCGCCTCCCACAATAGGCCCCAGTGTGTGATGTTCCCCTTCCAGAGTCCAAGTGATCTCAGTGTTCAATTCCACCCTATGAGTGAGAACCATGCGGTGTTTGGTTTTCCTGTTCTTGCTATAGTTTGCTGAGAATGATGGTTTTCCAGCGGCATCCATGCTCCTACAAAGGACACAAACTCATCCTTTTTTATGGCTGCATAGTAATTCCATGGTGTATATGTGCCCACATTTTCTTAATCCAGTCTGTCACTGATGGACATTGGGGTTGATTCCAAGTCTTTGCTATTGTGAATAGTGCCGCAATAAACATACGTGTGCATGTGTCTTATTAGCAGCATGATTATAATCCTTTGGGATATACCCAGTAAAGGGATGGCTGGGTCATATGATATTTCTAGTTCTAGATCCTTGAGGAATACGCCATACTGTTTTCCATAATGGTTGAACTAGTTTACAACACCACCAACAGTGTAAAAGTGTTCCTATTTCTCCACATCCTCTCCAGCACCTGTGTTTCCTGACTTTTTAATGATTGCCATTCTAACTGGTGTGAGATGGTATCTCATTGTGGTTTTGATTTGCATTTCTCTGATGGCCAGTGGATGATGAGCATTTTTCATGTGTCTGTTGGCTGTATGCATGTTTTCTTTGAGAGAAATGTCTGTTCATATCCTTTGCCCACTTTTTGATGGGTTGTTTCTTTTCTTGTAAATTTTTTGAGTTCTTTGTAGGTTCTGGATATTAGCCCTTTGTCAGATGAGTAGATTGCAAAATTTCTTCACTTCTGTAGGTTGCCTGTTCACTCTGATGGTAGTTTCTTTTGCTGTGCAGAAGCTCTTTAGTTTAATTAGATCCCTTTGTCAATTTGGCTTTCCTTGCCATTGCTTTGGTGTTTTAGACATGAAGTCCTTGCCATGCCTATGTCCTGAATGGTACTTACCTAGGTTTCTTCTAGGATTTTTAGGTATTAGATCTAATATTTAAGTCTCTCATCCATCTTGAATTAATTTTCGTATAAAGGAGTAAGGAAAGGATCCAGTTTCAGCTTTCTACTTATGGCTAGCCAACTTTCCCAGCACCATTATTAAATAGGGAATCCTTTCCCCATTTCTTGTTTTGTCATGGTTGTCAAAGATCAGATGGCTGTAGATGTGTGGTATTATTTCTGAGGACTCTGGTATATTTCCATTGGTCTATATCTCGTTTTGGTACCAGTACCATGCTGTTTTGGTTACTGTAGCCTTGTAGTATAGTTTGAAGTCAGGTACACATGATCCCTCCAGCTTTGTTCTTTTGACAGGATTGTCTTGGCAATGCAGGCTCTTTTTTTGGTTCCATATGAACTTTAAAACAGTTTTTTTTCAATTCTGTGAAGAAAGTCATTGGTAGCTTGATGGGATGGCATTGAATCTATAAATTACCTTGGGCAGTATGTTTAATGTAACATAACTGTTGACAATTATCCTTAAAATGTATCCAATCGACTATTGTTCATTATCCCAATTTCTATCACTCTAGTCTAAGTCACTAGTATATCTACTTGATCCCCTAAAAATTTCACAAAATTCTGGAAATATGCAATTAAAAATAAACCATAAACTATGGCTCAAAACTCATATCATACAATTGATCTTTGCCAAGGAATTCAGCTTTTCTGTTACAGGAGAGTATAAAAAAAAAATTACCTATAACAAGTAACTTTGAAGGGACTGGAATTAGTTTTGTAAGGGGTATGGCATACTGGAAAAACCAGGACACAATTTTTTCTACAGATAATCATTATCAGTTTTAATTTGTTTTAATTGCATGCTTTATCTCCCTTCCAATTTAGTCATTTTAAAATTAAAAATTGATTCTGTAAAACTCATTACTATACCATCAGTGTGGCCCTTTTGTGTCAGCTACTTTTAAATCCAAGGAAGAAAATGGCTAATTTAATGAGGAAGTTTAAGAAAGAAAGAAAAGTTCAAAGAAAAATAATGAGGCACAGTTCCCTCTGGATCTGTTTCTAATGTTTAATACAAGAAAATGTCAGCAGTATTTTAAGATTCACAGAAATTATTGTGATACAGGCAACATTATATAGGCTTACACACCAACAAGAGGCTTAGCATGAGACTATCCATGGAGTAGGCAGAATATATGTTACTGACTTTTATTAAAGGCAGTGTGGTATATAGTAAATAGATTACCATTTTTCATGTTTCTTCTGCCATTGTAAGCATGTCATTCAATGGCATGATATCCTAGTCTGATGGCATTGTCAGAATCAAAAGTTCAGAGGTGAAGTAACTGGTCATAGTCTTGTATAAGCAGAAAAAAGATAAAAACATGATTTTTTTTTTAACCCCAAGAGCAGCATAGAGGTTGGTTAAAGCCAGCTAATGACATTTTTCCTGCACAATATTGGTCACAAAATTAGTTTATTTTGAAGAATGATATTGGAGACAGAGGTCTAAAAGAGGGGTTCTCATCCTCCTGGTATTTAAATTTTTTCCTGGCGGCTATTAAATAGTGAGAAAGACAGTCTTTGGGACTTACTCTGCTTTTGGAAGAATATAGATTAACTATGGGAAAGAAACTGAGGAAGCAAAAGCATTAATTATGTATTCTGAGAAAAGCATAGAACCTTTTCTCTACCTCCCTGAATTTCCCTTGTCTTTTCCCCCTGCTCCGTACTGAGAAAAGAAAGCTCTCTCAGAAACCTTTTGAAGGACTGGATCTTAAAAGATTTCTGCTTAAAAATGCCCGTTCCGCTCTTTCAGTGAAAAAAATACAACGTATTTTCAAAGCCCAGCATCATTATTATACATCATATGTATTTTCCATCCAAGAAGAATTATTGTTTCTTTCTCAATACTGTCATATTTGCTGTGTGTGTACATAGCAATTGTTCTGGACCACAGGCAAACCAAGGGCATTTACCAGAGACCCACCTACTTGGTGGTTCATGAGTTCGTTTTATTCAGTGGCTTCCATTAGAATGCCAGAAATTTTGCTTGCCTTCTTAGCCTCTTAGATGTAGCTTGTAAATCTTTAAATTCACCAGGAAAAAGCATCAGTGTACTGAATATTGCATTTACCTTTGTAGACTTTTCTCTGACATGCTGGCCTGCCAAGTCTGATGACGGCCTTAGAAGATATTGAATACCTTCACATAAATCCTTTTCAATATTATTTTCATGTTTTATAGCTGTCTCAGAAGAATGGCTGATCTGAAATATGCTAGACTATCATTGACAAGAATAAAAAATATTACTGTTAGATTTTATGGTAGCAAAACAAAGCAAAAATCAGTGGTATGTAAAAATATATCAAATTTCTTGAGAAAAAAGCCTATGCAAGAAACTTCATTTATGTAAGGTGTAAAATCAATGAGGTTGACAGCTGTATACACCAGTAAAACCACCATCACAATAAAAAAGTAACATTTTTCATCATTTCTCAAAGATCCTTACTATACCTTCACAGTTAGTCCTTCCCTTGATCCTCAACTGCAAGCAACAATCTACTGGATTTTTGTTACGTAGATTAGTTTGCACGTTTTATAATAAGAATAATATCATATGATAATCTTCTGTGTCTTTTGTGTCTTTAGCTCAGCAAAATATTTTGAAATTCATGTATATTGTTGTATGTATCAGTAGTTTATTCCTTTGAATTGCTGATTAGCATTCCATTGAATGTGTACATTTACTTTGCACTTTATTGATTAATAATACTTGGTAAGTCTTTCTAATTTTTTTTCCATTTTATGGATGGTTAGGAGTAGTTCATTGTGTTTTAGTTGCATTTTCCTGATGACTAATGATGTTGGGTGTTTTTTAATGTATTTATTGGCTATTCATACTTTTTCTCTTGTAAATGCCTGTTCAAATATTTTGAGCATTAAAAAGTTGGGTTGTCTTCTTACTATTAAGATATAAGAGTTGTTGATATACTCTAGGCACAGTTCTTTATAAAAATATGTGTTTTAAATATTTTCTCTCTCTTTGTATTTATTTTCTTAATTGTGTCTTGAAGAGCAAAAGTGTTAAAATTTTATAAAGCCCAATTGTGAAAGTTTCTCCTGTGATTTTCCTTAGGTGTTTGATTTAAGAAATGCTTGCCTATCTAGTTAGATTATGTCTAAACTAGACATAATCTCCAAGATTATGTCTAGTTTAGCTTTGTTTTTAAGTAGTAGTTATATGGTTTCAGTTTTTATATTTAGGTGAATAACCCATTTAGATTAATTTTATGTGAATTAAGATTCAGATATTTTTATTTTTTTACTGACATCAAGTTGTTCCAGTGCCTTTTTTGTTTCTTTTTAGAGATAGACTCTTGCTCTGTCACCCAAGTTGGAATGCAGTGGTGCGATCATAACTCCACAACCTCAAATTACTCAGCTCAGAAGATCCTTCTGCCTCAGCCTCCTGAATACCTAGTACTCCAGGTGTGTGCCACCATGCCCAGCTAATTTCTTTTATTTTTTGTAGAGATGGGGTCTTCTTATGTTGTGCAGGCTGGCGATGCCCCTGCCTTGGCCTCTCAAAGCACTAGAATTACAGATGTGAGTCCTTACACCTCTCCCAGTGGCATGTTTTGGAAAGTACTTTTTCCCCTATTGAATTGCCTTGGCATTTTTGTCAAAAATCATTTTTTTATATATGTTTGGGTCTATTTCTGGATACTCTATTCTGCTCCAGCAATATACATATCTATGCTTATGCCAATATAACATTGTTGTGATTACTACAGTGTTATTGTACTTTTTGAAGTCTGGTAGTGTATTTTTTCTGTGTTTTCTTTTGTGTAACATTCATTTTACTATTCTACAACATTTTCATTTCCACGTACATTTTAAAATCAACTTGTCACTTTGTATAAAAGAACTTTCTAGACATTTTGTTGAGATTGCATGGAATTTGTAGATCACTTTGAAGAGAATTTACATTTTAATAATATTGATTGTTCCAATGCATGAATGAGTAATATTCCTCCATTTATTTAGGTTTTTGTTAATTTCTTTTATTCTCTATTTCATAGTGTAAAAGTCCTGTGTATATTTTGTTAAGTTTTTATGTAAGCATTTCATAATTTTTTGGGGGGGGTAAATGTATGTTAAATTCTTAAAATTTTATTTTCTATGTCTTTGCTGAAAGTATATAATATGCAATTAATTTTGTTTTAATGTTCTGTGTTTAAACATTATAAGAAAATTTTTATGTTTATACTTAACCATACAGTCACTATCTTTCATCTTTATTCGTTTAAACTTTATTCATTCCTAACATATGAATTTTTCTATATCAATTCCCTCTTCAAACCTGAATAATTTTATTTGCATTTCCCATAGTTTTACTTTGTCTGAAAATGTCTTTAACTCTGTTCTATTTTCACTAAATCTAGAATTCTAGGTTAACCATTATTTTCTTTTTCTTTCAGCATTTTAAATCTGTTGCTCCACTGTCATCTGGCCTTAATGGTTTCTGATGTCACATCCACCATCATTTGATCATTGTTCCACCATATGTAAAGTATTAATTTCTGGGTGTTTTTAAGATTTTCTTGTTCCTTTTGTCTTTCAGCAGTTTTGCTGTGAGGTACCTATACCTGTGTAGACACTTCTTTCAAATGTGTCCTATTTGGAGTTTGCTGCCCTTTAGTAATCTATAAATGTAGGCCTTTTACCAGATTTGGAAAGTTTTGGTCATCATTTCTTCAAATATTTTTTGTCTCAAACTTTTTCCTTTCTTTCTAGGACTCCAATTACCTAATTAAGGTGTTAGACCTTTTGAAATGTTCCACTGTTCTCTGGGGCTCAGTTTATATTTTTTCTTTTTTTTAGACAGAGTCTCACTCTGTCACCAGGCTGGAGAGTGCAGTGCCGTGGTCTCTGCCTCCTGGGTTCAAGCAATTTTCCTGCCTCAGCCTCCCAAGTAGCTGGGATTACAGGCACGCACCACCATGCCCAGCTAATTTTTGTATTTTTAGTAGAGATGCGGTTTCACCATGTTGGCCAGGCTTGTCTTGAACTCCTGACCTCATGATCTACCTGCCTTTGCCTACCAAAGTGCTAGGATTACAGGCGTGAGCCACCGCACCTGTCCCAGTTTGTATTTGTTCATAAACTTGTCTCTTTTTCAAATTGCATGATTTCTATTGATTTATATTCGGTTTTACTTAGATTCTTTTGACATCTTTATTTTAATAATTTTGCCTACCCAGAAAATTTATATTTTTGTGTTTTTATCAATTTTAAAATTTCTTTTATGCCTTTTTATGTTTTCTACTTTTATGCCGGTATTTTCTATTTTTTTGTTGTTCCTTCCACGTGTATCTTTTTTTACCTGATCGAGCATAGTTTTAACTCTGTTTAAAGTTCATGTCTGATAATTTGGTCATTTTTCCCCTAAAAAATGAGTCATTGTTTCCTGGCTCTTTGTATATGAAGTGATTTTTGGATTGAATTGTGGACATTATGAATGTAATTATGAATAAAAATCTAGGCTCTGACTTTTTTCATATCACTTTAAAAAGTGTTGATGCTATTGTTTAGCAGAAAAATGACTTACGCTCAGATTAAACACGGTCTATCTGTGATGGCAGAGACTCAGAGTGCAGTTTAGTTCTTTAAATCTTAACTCCTGATTGCTTTCAGCTTGCTTATTCATGCATTCATCAGATGTCAAGATTTTAGGTGTTAAGTTTCTTCTTCTCTGGATTCTTCCTTTTCAGAAGCTGTTTTTGTATTTCAACTTTCTTCCTTGATTCCTCTGCCTAAAAGAGGGTGAGTTATTTTCTATCAGAGCTAGAGCCACCTCATGCCCAGTATGACTGCTGTGATTGCCTTCTGTGTCGGGCAGTTAAAAAATAACATACACACTCCAAATTTCAATGCCCACGCTGGTTACAGGCTCCAAGTTTCAATTCCCTTTCAAAAAGTTCTTGCGCAGCTTCCATCTCCAGTGTCCGGTGCCTTCAGGTTGCTCTTTTTTGAGAGTCAATAGCTCTTATTTGTGGGAAGGTTAATTTATTAGGAGCTCACTCCTCTATGCTTCAAGCAGAAATCCTTATACACATATCATGATAAAGCCAATAAAAACTCCATTTTCTATATATTTTCAGTCATTTTTTGATCAAACATTCTTTAAAATCTATTGTTCCGATGAAATAATGAAGATGGACACATCATTTTCTCTGAGATATTGTATGTACATGCACATTGTATTACAGTGAAAATATTTGCTGCCCTCCCTTGTTCTGCTCTGAATCCTTACCTATAAAAGGACTACTGAATCCATTACAGTGACATCAGGCTTAGCCAATTGATGTGGTTTGGCTGTGTGTCCCCACCCAAATCTCATGGCCAGCTGTAATCCCCACGTGTCAGAGAAGGGACCTGGTGAAAGGTGATTGGATGGGGGCAGTTTCCCCCATGCTGTTCTTGTGATAATCTGATGATTTAAAGGTAGGGGGAAGGAAGTTCCCTCATAGCTTGCTCTCTCCTGCCACCATGTAAGATGTGCCTTGCTCCCCCTTCACCTTCAATCATGATTGTGAGTATCCTGAGGCCTCCCCAGCCATGCGGAACTGTGAGTCAATTAAACTTCTTTTCTTTATAAATTGTCCCATCTCAGGTAGTTCTGCATAGTAGTGTGAAAATGGACTAATACACCAATAATACATGGACAGAAGTTATTTGGGTGACCTCCCAGCAAAATAAATTATATCTATTGCATGGCCCTACCATCGTACTTTCTTATTGCCATGAAACGATTATGTCTCAGATAGAATCTTCTTTTTATCCTTCATTCCGGAAGAAAAATGAACATGGAGCGAAGTCACACCCTCCAATGCATGTGAATATGACTAAGAAATAAGTCTTTGTTGTCTTAAGTCTAAGATTGTGAGATAATTTGTTACCATAACATAGCCTAAATTACCTGGCACAGACATGCTGTGTAACTTAGCCTAAGCTGACAGATAGTTATGTGTAAGTCTGAGATTGAAGAAGAGGAGATGAAATCACTCCCTCTATGTATTAACAACACAAACAGCAATAACAATAAAAAGCAATAGTTTCACTAAATAGGTTTATATTTCTTCTGAGGAAGCATAAAGTGGAATAGTAGACAAAACTCTATACTAATTTATGAGATGAGCCAAATTCTATCCCTTGTTTAGATACTAATTCATGGCATTACTCTTGGAAATGTCATGCTCTTTGAAATACACCTCTTTACCCTTGGATGTACTCATCTGTAATAATAATGTTGCCTACTTAATCTCTGGAGATCTACTAACGCCAACAAACCTAAGATTTGATGGATGTCAGCAAAGCAAAGCCCATAGGCGCTATTGTAGAGCTTCCCTCAGAGTAATGCCACAAGGGCTTCTTTTACAGCAAAACAAGATTGTCAACAAAGCAAACCTGGCGCCCTATCCTGGAAACTGTCTTACTCTATTTTCTGCTGTTATCACAGAATACCACAGACTGGGTAATTTGTAAAGAAAATAAATTATTTCTCACAGTTCTTGAGGCTGGAAATCCAGGGGCATGACATGGAAGGTCATTTAATGGAGGAAGGCATCACATGAAGAGTAAGTGTGCAAGACAGAAAGAAATGGGGCCAACCGTATCCTTTTATTAGAAGCCCACACTTGCAATAACAAACTCACTCCAGCAATAACAGCATTAATCCCTTTATGAGGGAAGAGCCTAATCAACTTTCAAAGACTCCACCTTTTAACACTGTTACAAAGGGTATTACGTTTCCAACATATGCATACATTTCCAACATTCTGGGAGACATATCCAAATCATAGAACTGAAAAATTCATTTCTGCTTAAAAATGCTATCATACCTCTTCCTCTTCCTCTCTGACATGAGAATGAGTATGTTCTATATAGATGCTGCTCCTAAAGACTGTTTTCCAGCATGAAAACTCATATGGAGCAGCAATAAATAAAGCCATAGCAACAAGAGTCAGCCTACATGTAACATGAATAAGAAAGTTAATTACTGTGAACTATTGAAGTTTTAGTGCTATTTTTTATACAGCAAAACTAATTGCTATGCAAAAGGTAGTATCAGAAATAGATGCAGCCCTAACAAAATACCTAAGCTATATCATTAGAAATGTGTAACATGCCAGTGATGACATTTTATTGGAGAATGGAAAAATGGCACTAGATATCATGCACTGGTGAACATTTGGTTAAATGTGAACCTTAAAATACTGAAGGTTTTAAGAACCTGAAAGACAAGCAATGTATCTAATAAGCTTGTGAGATCTAGGGGATAGATTTTGAGAAGCAAAATTTTCTGAGTTTTGTTTATTAGTCACATGAAGTAAGTACTACAAGCAAGCAATGTACTTAGTAAGCTTGTGAGATCTAGTGGCTAGATTTTGAGAAGCAAAATTTTCTCAGAGTTTTTGTGTATTAGTCACATTAAGCAAGTACTACAAGACAAGTACCACCGTACATGCTCAGAAAAGAATTGACTCACCTGCAAGCAGGGCAATAAGGAAAAGCAAAGAATCCAGAAATTCTCAAACTTTCAGGGCTGAGAGTTGCAACTTCTCCTGTCCAATATGTAAAAGAAAAAAAAACTGAGAAATTATACAAAGAATCATACTCAGTCTCAAGGCATAAACCAGAATCAAGGATGTGGCTCCTTGATGTGTGCATGAATTAACATTGACCCCAGCGAATCTTTTTAGTTGGACCCAAAGGCTCAAGAAGAAGAGATTAAAAGTGCTCTCTTCAGTATAGAGAAATGCAGAATTTAAAAAGTATTGTAGGGGTAGATAATAACAAATGTAGTTGACTCATTAAATATATATATTGTTATACACTTACATATTTTATTTCAATGTATACCTACATAAAATATTTTATATTTTATATAAAATATATAATATACACATGCAGGTGTATCCTAAATTAAAAGAGACTGTGACTGTTTGAATGTGAAACAATTATTGGTTTCCCAAATATCTATAGGAGTAAAGGAGGCTGAGAACATTTCTTAGTTCCCAAGGAAGCCATGTTCTCCATTGCTCTCTTCAAATTCAGAAAAGGATAATGGAAAGGAAAGGTACTCTCAGAGGATTAAATATTCATAGAGAATAATGAATTCATAGAGAATAATGATATGGGAAGTGGAACTTGGGCTCCATCAATGCACATTACCAATCTTTAGGGTAAGAAATTGCCTAATATTTGCCCAAAAGAAATTAAGAACTTTCAGAGTCAAGTTATTCTTGATGCTTCCCATTTTCCACATGTCAAAATGGTTTGTGTATGAGTGTGTATGGGGATGCAAAATTTGTCTTTTTAGCACATAGGTATCTGATTAAGAGGAGCTGTAATGGGATTTGGGGTATTGGTAAAATTTTAGAGAATATTCATTGGGGAAAGAAGTAGAATATTTTACGCACGGAAGAGAGATGTAAGTATTTGTGAAGTCTTTGGTAGGTCACATTATTTTCCACAGCTATTAACTTCTTCTCTGTGAGAGGTTTATACTTGCTCATCAGTTACTGTGTTACTTGTCAATGGCACCTATGGGAGGCCTTTTTTTTTTTTTTTTTTCTCTGAAACGGATTTTTTTTTCTCTGGCTCTGTTGCCCAGGCTAGAGTGCAGTGGCACGATCTTGGCTCACTGCAACCCCCGCCTCCCAGGT